GCTGCGGAGGAGCCCGCAGGGGGCGGGAGTGAGGGCGGGTGGGAATGGCAGAGCGGCGCCTCCCACCGCGCAGCCCCCAAAGCTGCCCAGGCAGCGACAGAGTCGAGCCTCGCCGCCGGCGCCCTCCATGCGGGCCCCCCGGACACCGCGGCCCTCGCGGGCCCTGGGAGCAGTGAGGGGATCTTTGGAGGCGGCCGGGTGGGGGGATCAGGTGGCGGGGACAGTCCTGGGGTGCTGGGTCGAGGCTGTGCCCTGCTGAGGGTGAGCGGTGCAGGGAGCAGGCCTGCCCCCCCCCGCACGCCTCCCCCCCCCCCTCCCCAGGCTGTGCCCTGCTGAGGGTGAGCGGTGCAGGGAGCAGGCCTGCCCCCCCCCGCACGCCTCCCCCCTCGCCCGCACCCCACAGCCCCGCTGGGGCCCACAGAGGGCAGCACCAGGCTCCCGGCCTGCAGCTGCGAACCGTGAGCTCAGCCAGCTCCTTTTCCTTACCAACGACCAGCCTTGTGCACTTTGTTGCCAAAGCAGGAAACAGGCCAACACAAAGCACGGGGTGCGGGAAGCGTGGGCTGCCGTGCGGCGAGAACCGGCCCGTTTGCTGGTCTGGTTTGGCTGAGGATGTGCGTGCGGGCCGGAGCAGCCTCGTGCTCGGGACCCGCGGCAGGCGCCGCCTGCAGACCCCGTTCTTTCCACGCTTCCTTTTGTGTCTTTCAGAAAATGGACAAAAATAAGGACGGCATTGTGACTTTAGATGAATTCCTGGAGTCCTGTCAGGAGGTAAGGGGGGACCGGGCACAGCACCCCAAAGTCTGGAGTCCTGTCAGGAGGTAAGGGGGGACCGGGCACAGCACCCCAAAGTCTGGAGTCCTGTCAGGAGGTAAGGGGGGGCCGGGCACGGCACCCCAAAGTCTGGAGTCCTGTCAGGAGTTAAGGGGGGACCGGGCATGGCACCCCAAAGTCTGGAGTCCTGTCAGGAGGTAAGGGGGGACCGGGCACAGCACCCCAAAATCTGGAGTCCTGTCAGGAGGTAAGGGGGAACCGGGCACGGCACCCCAAAGTCTGGAGTCCTGTCAGGAGGTAAGGGGGGACCGGGCACAGCACCCCAAAGTCTGGGAAGGAAGGCCTGCCGGACACCGCCCTCACACGCCACAGGCCCGGCCACCTCCGCTCCCCGCCGGCCCGTGGCTGACAAGCTCCCAGCAGGGCTGAGCAGACGGCCAAGTCCAAGTCTGTTGGGAGGTACAGATCCATTGAGGTACAGATCCAGGAGACAAAGCGGCTTCCCAGGGGCGGCTCCCGCCTGCCCCTGGCTGTGCGACCTCCTGCTCCCTCTTGTCAGACCCCAAGGGAACAGCTGGAAAACCCAAATCTACGCCGAGCGAGCGCTCAAACCGGATGTGCGTCCGGGTGGAGCCCAGGGCTTCCAGCACGCTAGGCAAGTGCTTCGCACCCGCGCCATGCCCCCGCCCTTCGCACCCGCGCCATGCCCCCGCCCTTCCGCTCAATTCTGGTTTTGAGACAGGGTCTCATCATGGGCAGGATACGATAGACACCTTTACACCCCTGTGCACAACAGCCAAGAAATGGAAACGATCCAGACGCCCCCAACCGATGAAGGGACCCCAAAAATGTGGTCCCTGCACACATTGAGATTGCACACGGCCATTCGAAGGAACAGTGTCATTTGTGGGGAAATGGATGGACCTAGAACAACTCGTGTTCACTGATTTAAGCCCAGCTCAGAGACACAAACAGTGCATGTTTTCTCTCATATGTGGAAGCTAGATCTAAAACACACCAGGACACGATAAATTATGTCTAAGCATTCGCACACGGAGCGCCGAAGGAGGAGACTGAGGGAGGAGCAGAGAGGCGCCATACATGTGTGCCTCTGATGATATAAAATGATATTTATTGAAATGAATTCCAGGAAATGGAAACAAGAGTTTTCCAAAAAACAAAGGCTTAGCCGGCTGATAGAATGCGATTCGGTGGCGTGGACGCGGGGCTTGTCTTCCGATCTCTCTGACGGCCTGAGAGGAGCTTCCTGCCTGGCTGGGCGGGGGGGGGGCACCCAGGCAGGCACGGGGCGCGCGGGGGCCCCCAGGGGGACCCGGGGCTCTAACCAGCGGCTCTCCCTCCTCTCTTCCCAGGACGACAACATCATGAGGTCTCTCCAGTTGTTCCAAAACGTCATGTGACTGGGCAGTCAGCGCCCGGCCCTCAGAGACACTACCAAACCCCCTTGTTCCGATTTTACACACCGACTCTTGGGACAGAAAACACCTTTTACACTTTGGACAACTTTCTAGGAAACCCGGTGTCCCGTGGCCCCTCGCCGCCACCTTCTCCTCCCGTCTTGAGAGAGACACGCTGAGATTTGAGTTTGTTCTGGAAGCATGCCGTCTCTTCCCGCTGCCCTGCGGGAGGCCCCTGCTCACGCTTGCACCGTAGTGCCCAGCTCGCTTCCACACCCCGGCCGCCGCCGCCGCGCCGGGCAGACCCTGCGAAGCCGGCAGCCAGAGGCCTGAGCCAGACACGAGCCAGACACACACGTCCTCTGAGGGCCTCCAAACCAATATGCCTGTTGCTCTTCCCGCGGGGGGGCGAGGGAGCGCTGTGGGAACAGTCGAACCCAGGGCTCGGACTGGACACAGGTAGGATAGACCGATGATCACGCACGGCGCTACCCGACCACCCACGGCCCACGTCATTCGTCTGCAGAGGTCAAGACCAGTAATGCTCCCATTCTAGCATCTGGGCCCGGTGTGCGAGTCCCTTCCCGTCCCCATCCATCCATCCCTCCTCCCCGGCCTCCTCCCCATCCCCGCCCTCCCCTAGGCTGCATGCCCCGCCAGGAGGTCCTCATGCCTGCAAAATGCTGTAATTTTATACCATGTTCTATCCAATAAATACACTTATTTCTTATGTGTCCGTTGTTCCTTCCATGACCGCACTGGATGAGAGGCGGGTCCGTTCACCGGCCTCCGTCCGCTGTTGGCACCCAGGCTGTGCAGGCTCCGCCCCCCCCGGGCCCGCACCGCATCACGGGCACACGCGGAGACCACGCGCAAGCTCACCTTCGCAGGAGACCCTCCACGTCCCCCCGCGAGTCCTGCATGCTACGTGCTGCCCACGGAGGAGGGCAAGGGAGCCATCCCTGCCGGCGGGAGACTGGGGAGGGAGGGAGACTGCGGGAACTCCACCCCGCCTCTGTCCCCTGCCCCGGACTCCACGCCCCCCGGGCCGCCCAGCAGGGCTGCGCCCCACGCCCGTGCCGTCTGGCACAAGCAGGAAGTAAAAGGCACCCGAATTCGGAGGATGGAGTCAGACCAAGGCTGTGGAAAGTGTGATGGGGTCCAGCAACAAACACCGACCGCTTACGGGAGAGCTGAGCGGGAGCGCGGGCGGTGAGATCCACTTCACACCCAGAAACAGGAGAGCTGAACAGGAGCGCGGGCGGTGAGATCCACTCCACACCCAGAAACTCAACGGCGGTGTCTCCTCACGCCTGAAGCTGGCGCTCCTGGCCAGCCTACGGCGCCCTCCTGATTGTGGTTTGTGATTAAATAAGCGATCCTCATCTCAACACCTCCAAACACAGAAATTGAAATAAGGCACAACAGCCCTCACAAACAGCATCGAAAATAATTCTCAGGGACAAAAGCGACACGTTCAACGCTATCGATCACTGATCTGCACAGCGGAGGAGGGTGTGGGGGTCGCTACCCTGAGTCCTAGCTGGGGGGGAGGGGGAGGACACAGCCCTCTCTAAGGCCCCGATGGGGAAGGAGGAGGAGGAGGAGGACAAGAAGGAGGAGGAGGAAGAGGAGGAGGGGGAGGAGCAGGAAGAGCAGGAGGAGGAAGAGGAGGAGGAGCAGGAGGAGGAGGAGGGGGAGGAGGAGGAGCAGGAGGAGGAGGAGGAGGAGGAAGGAGAGGAGCAGGAAGAGCAGGAGGAGGAAGAGGAGGACAAGGAAGAGGAGGAGGAGAGGGAGGAGGAAGAGGAGGAGGAGGGGGAAGAGGAGGAGGACAAGGAGGAGGAGGAGGAGCAGGAGGAGGAGGACAGGGAGGAGGAAGAGGAGGAGGAGGAGGGGGAAGAGCAGGAGGAGGGGGAGGAGGAGGGGGAGGAGCAGGTGGAGGAGCAGGAAGAGGAGGAGGAGGAGGAGGACAAGGAGGAGGAAGAGGAGGAGCAGGAGGAAGAGGGGGAGCAGGAGGAAGAGGAGGAGCAGGAGGAGGAGCAGTAGCAGGTGGAGGAGCAGGAGGAGGAGCAGTAGCAGGTGGAGGAGTAGGAGGAGGAACAGTAG